ATTGATTATTTTTACACTGTTGACTACTTTATTTTAATCAAGAAAGAAATTTAGGAAAAGTAGGCTCAATTCAGAAAATTTTGTGTGATTTCAGTTCCCAACATATAAAAATATTTGTCAGATTTTGGGTGGTTTACTAGGATTGGCAATTTACGTTGAGGTGATATTGTGAAACTAACCATCCTATTACTTGCCTGAAACTGTTGAACATTTAAATATTATCTCATTTAGTTATTTCAAAACACTTTTTACTTAGTCCCACTTTATAAATGAGGAAACAGGCTGAAACAGTTTAAATACTGGAGTAGGACTGGATGGGAACTAGGTTTGCTTTACTCTAAAATGTAAGAAATAAATATGACCAGTGCATGTTCTTGAAAAGAGAGCACAGAGGGGAGGAAAAACCTTTTTCCTCTACCCTGTTGGGTTCACTGGCTGAGCCCTTGAATCAAACTGATAAGAGACAGCTTATCAAGAGAAAAAAAAAGTTTTAATTATGTAGATACGTATGAGAGTTTCACAAGGAAATGAGACTCAAAGGGCCAGATGATTGAGGATTATACCATCTTAGACTAAACAAGGAAAAGGAGTTTTGGGCTTCTGGGAGAGAAATGCAAGTTACAGGAAAGTGAAGAGAGGAAATGTATGGTGAATAAGGATAGTCTTGTATGCATATAAGAGTTTCTGAGGTGATAAGAGTTGACTCCTAGAGTAGTTCTCTTCCTGGTAAGGAGACACTTTTACAAATGGAAATTTCCTTTATAAATGTAAATTTCCTTTACAAAAGAGGAAATTTATACTCTCTTTTTTAGGCAATCAGGGGAGGTAAAGAGCTTTTACAGCTGGTTCTCAATTGCCTTTAGCTCAAAATAATGCATATGCTAAAGAGCCATATTTTGGGGTCTTATATTCTAGTATTCTTCAAGCACATCCATCTAATTTTTAGAACTGTAATCTCAAAGATCCATTCTGATTGCTGAGCATGGAATTTCCTTCCAATAATGGCTTGTGGGATCACGGGTTTAAGTGTTCTTTTATTTTTATTTTTTTATTGTTTATTTTTATTTTTTAAGAATTCTAATCCTTTTCTATCTAGCCTTTTCTCTCCATAGAGATCTATGGTTTTGACCAAGTTGTTTGTTCTTCTTGCGTTGTACTTTTCAGTGAGAAAATAAGTACCAAGTGTGTGTACTTATTAAATGTATTGTGATATTTTACATACCCAGGGTCCCATGTTTTTATAACAGACAATGCCAACATTCAGAACTTTGAGGGGCTGGCTCCGTGGCACAAGCAGTTAAGTGCACGCGCTCTGCTGCGGCCGCCCGGATTTGCAGGTTTGGAACCGGAGGCGCCCACTGATGCACCGCGTGTCAAGCCGTGCTGTGGCGTCGTCCCATGTAAAGTGGAGGAAGATGGGCACGGATGTTAGCTCAGGGCTGATCTTCTTCAGCAAAAAACAAAACAAAACAAAACAAAAAGAGCTTTGAGTAAACTTCAAAAGTTTTTTCAAATTTTCACATATATCTTCCCTTGAAAATCAGAACTAAATAATTACTTCAATAACTACCTATAACATGTTTAAGCTGCAACATTGGTTTCTTCCTCATGTGTAATTTCTAGGTAGAACTCTCAAGCTGAGTGATAAAGGATAGCATTGATCGTCCTTTGCCAACTCTCTCCTTGGAGTTTACTTTTTTTTTTTTTAAGGTATTTATTTATTTATTTATTTGTTTATTTATGTATGTATGTATGTATGTATGTAAGATCAGCTCTGAGCTAACATCCATGCTGATCCTCCTCTTTTTGTTGAGGAAGACCGGCCCTGGGCTAACATCCATGCCCATCTTCCTTTACTTTATATGGGACATCACCACAGCATGGCGTGACAAGCAGTGCCTCCGTTCGCTCCCAGGATCCGAACCAGGCCGCCAGCAGCCAAGCGCACGCACTTAACTGCTACGCCACAGGGCCGGCCTCTGGAGTTTACTTTAGAAATAGAATGTTGGAAACACAAATAGGAGATGTGGTCGGATGTGTTGTTTTCTACTATGTCACCTAAGTTGTTTAAAAAATGTGCTTCGTAATTTTTACGGCAATGTCTCAGAAGGCATATGGGGACACATTCACTCTCATAGTCTTCCCTTCCAAGAGGTTGAAAATTTTGATAATTTTTATAATCATATTAGTTTCCTTTCATCATTCAGTGAAGCACTTCTGGCTAATGGCCACCCATGCTGTTTGTTTTTGGCACAGATGTATGTTTTAAACTAGTGCATTAACTATTTTTTTTCTCCATCATTTACTTCCTCTATCTTTGATTCTCTTTTGGAAATTCTCTTAAGTGTGCTCATCTCTTTTATTCTTCTAGTCTTAATTATATGCTCTTGCAGATATACCTACCTACTTCCCTCATCTCTTTTCATTTTTGAACTTTAATTTGTCATTTTGCCCTCCTGGAATATTTCCATCATCTTCTTTGCTAGTCCATGTTCTTCTTTTCTTTGAGACCCTTTAATTCACCTTTTCTGATGATGGTAATTTTATTCACCTTTCTAAAATTTGTTGAAGGCATAATATGTGGTAGGAACTATGCTAGGTGCCAGGGATATTGTGATGGATATAGAAAAGGTCCGACATAACAGCTTGCAAGGACCGAAATAATTAAGCAGTTCATACCATACCATGTGATAAGAACCGTGGAAAAGGAACAGTTCTGAGTTGTTAAGGGGCATCTGGGAGCACATAGAAGAGGCTTCACCAAGACTGGGGTCAAGAGGAATTCCTGCATATGAATTAGTCAGGCAAAGGGCAGGTGATGAAAGAAAAAGTTTTCTAGGCATACAAGGCCCAGAAGAGAGAGAGAGAGAGAAAGTGTGTGTGCGTGGCACTTTATTAGTATTGAAACCATCTCAGTATAATTGAATGTACATTTAGGTTACTTTCTGTGCAGCTATAAAAACTTCTGAGGTTTCTGGTGTTTATGTGTTTATGTTTTTCCTTGGCTCAAACATAGGACTTCTCTATTCTACTTTCATTGTAACTGCCCACATGCCATAATTCAGTTGAGAGATAATGAGTGCTTTATACCTGTTATTGACTAATTTTGGGTGCCTGGGGCAGGTATGTAAATACATTTCCAAGTTTGTTATAATGAGTGAGGATTGATGTGTGTGTTTCTCCTCTAGTGGGAAAGTCTGAATGTGATGATTATAGTGTATAATTGGCAAACATTCAATTTCAGGTAACTTTTGGTAAAGTATGTAGCATGGTATATATATTACATGATGCAATTGTACTAGGCAAGGGACTACTCCTGGGACAAACCACAACCTGGATTTTGAATCAGAGGCTTCTGGCACTGTAATGATGAAATGGGCCTTAGATAACAAATGGTCCAGCTCCCTCACGTTACAGATGAGGAAACTGACACCCAGAGAGGTAATAAATGAGAGAACTCTAAATTAACTGTGATGAGGATTTTTTTATGTTATGTTTGTTTTTATTTCTAATTATGTTTTAGTATAACTACTGGAGTCGTTTGCCATTTCTGTTGGTTACATAACTTATGTAATCAATTTTTTTAATTAATAAACTAGCAAACAGGTATACAGGTTATTTTCAAATCGAAAATTAAAGAACTATTAAAGGAGGAGATGTTTGAGCCTCAGGTTTTTTTTTTTAACTAGTCTGACCAAAGCTCAAATTTAAGGAATTCTAGAGGGAGAAAGTAGAGATTGTTTTTTATTCTAGATGACTTATAGGAGAAAAAGCTTAAATAAATTGACTTATTTTTGTGATCTACTTCCTCTCTCATTTACAAATGAGTAAAGATAAATCTCCAGTTTGTTGCTTATCTTTGCTAAGAGATTATTTTTGTTTGAGGCACAACAGTTTAAGTTAATACTCACTATGTTCCTGTTAAAAAGGCAATGCAAATATCAGTATCTTTTTACAATGAGGACCTCGAGGACTCGTAGATTGGACTGAATCATTTCTCTAAGATCTTTCGGTTAGTAAGTAACACAACTGATATCAGAACACAGTGACATCAGTGCTCTAGTTTGGCATTCTTTCCACTGGTCAGAAGGAGAAGAAGGACAAGAGGAGAGAGAGAAGGAAGAAGATGAAAGGGGAAAAAGAAGAAGAGGGAAGGAGAGGAGGAGGAAAAATGTGCGTTTATTATCTGCCATTCGTAATGTTTAGCACAGTTATACTTTATAGCTTTCAATTTTCATAGTAACCTGAAATAGATATTATCCTTATTTTACAGTTGAGGAAACTGAATCTCCAAGACGATGTATTCCTCGCTTAAAGTTACATAGCTAGTTTTGGAGATACCCCAAAGCCTGCCTTTCCACCACTTCACAAAACTGTTTCCCATGTTGGGGTGCCCCAGTGGCTCAAGTGGTTAAGTGCGCGCGCTCCACTACAGTGGCCCAGGGTTCGCCGGTTCGGATCCCGGGTGCGCACCGACCCACCACTTGGCAAACCATGCTGTGGGGGCATCCCATAGAAAGTGGAGGAAGATGGGCACAGATGTTAGCCCAGGGCCAGTCTTCCTCAGCAAAAAAAAGAGGAGGATTGGCAGATGTTAGCACGGGGCTGATCTTCCTCACAAAACAAAACAAAACAAAAAAAACCTGATTCCCATGTCGTTCCTTATCTCCCTGTATTTTTTTAAATGGGCTTTGCAAAATTCATTTTAAATTTTATTTCGTTTCTGTAAGAGAAGCAGATCAGGAACACTAAAAAACAAACAAAACTCTGGCTCTGCACCATAGTGTGTTGGTAGTATCAACACTCTTTCACGGGGAAAATATAAATATGTTTCTGGACTAAAGTGAAAGTAGGGAATTAAAAGTTAATATCAGAACTGAAGCAAAGCCACGTTTCGTGAAGCACACATTAATAGCAGTACATTGGATCAAAGAATGTGATCTCATTTCATAGTAAAACAGGTCGTGCAAGCCCAGGTAACTCAGGAAGCAGAATGGTAATTATTCACAGAAGAAAGCAGGTGGTATACTGTTACAATACCACAGGAGAAAGCCAGAAGGTCAGAAAGCTTGCGGGGTAACTGACACAATTTGAAACTGCTTGGCCCCCTTTAAAAAGAAATAATAAAATGGGAGAGAATGAAGCAAGTTTACCTAACACATCTTTGCAAGGTAAGTGCCAACATCTTCTAAAATGTTTGCAATCAGAAATTTAAGCAGTGTTGATTACAAGTTGTGTGTGTGTGCGCGCGCACGTGCGCGTTCATGTGTATGCCACCACCGATTTTCAAGGTGTATTTTGAGGGTGGGGAAAAGAAGTGGGGATTGTTGTTTCAGAAGAAGCCAGCTGTCTCTGTTGTGCTCAACAGCTCCACCAACACAACACAAATTTGGTGGAGATTAAGGAAAGCCTTATCCTTACTGCCTAACATAATGCTGGAGAAATGGTGCAACCAACTTCAGCACATATTTGTGTTAAATCTTTTCCAACAAAATATTGATTTTTGTCTCTACCTGTGGAATTTTTACTTATAATCAAATTTTACCTTCTCCGGGGTTTACCAGCTAAGTGTTCTTGTAATTAATGTAACCATTTTTTTTTAAGATAGAAAAACAGGGTCTCAGAGGAGAGCATATCAGTTTGGGAGAGCAGTTTCTTTTACAGATCTTACTTAATCAGATATACCTTTGTCCTGTGAAGGGATTGGCTTTGTTGATATTGGCTTGACTGGGCTTCTAAGGTTAGGCTTGTTGATAGAAACAAATACAAGGTCACTCACACATTTCACTTTTTGAGTAAGGAAAGGTCTTTCTTAAAAAAAAAAAAAAAAGAAAATAGTCCTAATGCTTATTTGTTGTCATGATTTCTAGTAGTCTACCCTCTTATGAATTATTTACCACCTGTACAGTAAGCGACATTTTTATCAAGGTATTTTTTTTAGAAATTTACCTGATAATAACATTTTTATTTGTTTAATATGTTCTTCTGAAGCTACCACCAAGAAAATCCCAAACCACCCAGTTTTCCATTAAGTGCATATAATCAAACATATAACTACATCTGTCAATTATAACACACATGAGAATAACAGTAAGATAATCATAGACATGCCTGGTCATAAAAGTATATCATCCATTTTATAGAGTTAAATTATCTTCCAGAATGCCTGTGTTTTTTATTTATTTTTTTGTGAGGAAGATCAGCCCTGTGCTAACATCTGCCAATCCTCCTCTTTTTTTGCTGAGGAAGGCTGGCCCTGGGCTAACATCCGTGCCCATCTTCCTTTGCTTTATACGGGACGCCGCCACAGCATGGCTTGACAACCGGTGTGTCGGTGTGTGCCTGGGATCCGAACCGGCAAACCCCAGGCTGCCGCAGCGGAGCGTGCACACTTAACCGCTTGTGCCACTGGGCCGGCCCCCCTGTGTTTTTTCTTTATTTTATTTAATCCTTTCTCTACTTAACCTGCTTAAGAATCCCAGAATCTTATTTTTATTTTTGTATGTTTCCTAAAAAATTCTTTTGAAATACTGCATAAAATGCTATTATAAAGCACTTTTAATTTAAAGATTAATAAAAAGTCATTTAGTGCATTCTGTTGAAGAACAATAAGGTGGAGGGCTCATTTAGCATAATTTGATGAAATAATTTATTCGTATGTGTTTTATGGACAAAGTGATATTATGTACATGATTATAACATATACTTTAATTGTCTCTGTAATATTTTTCCTTGGAAAAGTATATGGGAAACATCTAGGTTGTTAAATTTGTTCATATAATAATGATTTTGTATAAAAATGTATGACTGACAACCACCTGAATAGCCTGTCCTAGGCTGTGTGGGTGTATCACCCGTATTGGTGTTCAGGGATTGAAATAAACTGAGGAGTAACCAGGCCTGTCCCCTCTCCCCTTATCATCTCTCTTTGTGTCAGGATCATGGGTAATATTTACTTCTTATTTCAGAGTCCTAGAATGTGTCTAGATTTTCTGGGTTTTTTTTTCTTTTTCTCTGGCAGTTTTATACATGTTGTTTTTTTGGTAATATGTTCTACTGTGCAAGGGTAACTTTCCCTTTCCCCTATCTATCTATGCAACTACTTTAAGAATTAATAATCAGTATATATCAGAAAAACATGCACAAAATTTAAAACAAGAGCTATAGTAAATCATTTAAGTGTCATGGTTTGAGTTAGAAAACAATGTGCCTAGATCCATAAACCTTCTGTGTTGAGGAATACTGGTGAGATCAGTTCTATCCCAGGGTATTTTCCTTTTGCACTCTGTGAAAACTTTTCCATAAGTAATGTGTTCTCTTCTGATCTTATCTGAGTTGAAATGTATCGTCGGTAGGTCTACAAATAGTTCAGATCTCTCTTCTTGGAGTATTGAAATGATTCCATTCCAGTTGTATTTGTCTTAAGATTATTAAATTAACCTATTAATCAGGTGAGAGTTAACAAAAAACAAAGGTCCTTCTGTTGTTGGTTTTAAACTGTTTTGAAAATTTTTTTTAACTATAAGGAAAGCACTGTGGGGATAATTTGCAGCTTTATTTGTATGTGTGAATGTAAGAGGTTTTGATAAATCTGTTTAATATATTATAAAACAAACTTAGATATATCCATAACTAAGTCTTTATTTATGCAATGCTCTAACATTATTCTGTTTTCTCTGCAGTACCCTGTACTATATCTGAGGTTGAGTTTAAAATTTATCAAAATAAATGAAAAAAGCATTTTGAAATGTTATTTAATTTTGCTTTTGACTTTATAGAAAGATTCTGAAGTTCTCTGAAATTATGCTAATTATTGTCAGCTCTGCTTACAAATGAGTGTTCTGTAACAGAAATGACTATATTCAAATACTATGTTTTATACATTAAACATATGGATGATTTAAGTGTTTTTACTATGAAGATAATAAATGACAGTAGCTTATCATTAGAACTCCATCATGTGCTTTGAATAATGGTTTTTTTTGTGTGTGTGTGAGGAAGATCAGCCCTGACCTAACATCTGCCAATCCTCCTCTTTTTACCGAGGAAGACTGGCTCTGGGCTAACATCCATGCCCATCTTCCTCCACTTTCTATGGGATGCCGCCACAGCATGGCTTGCCAAGCGGTGCGTCGCTGCGCACCTGGGATCCGAACCGGCGAACCCCGGGCCGCTGCAGTGGAGCGCGCGCACTTAACCGCTTGCGCCACCGGGCTGGCCCCGAATAATGGTTTTCTAAGGCCTTCTCTCTAGATTGTCTAGATTCATTGGACCGTCTCTAGTCACAACTTGGAGGGCTAGCCATAGACATTATCAAAGATTATTCATTTTGTGCTCAATGTACAAAAGGTCTCTCACCCATTTTTACATCCAGGAAGCTGGTTGAGTGTCTCCTGGTTAGAGGAGCTCATAAACAGTCAACATTTAGTGTTTTAAGTAGTATTAGGAATCTATCTTTTCTTGAATGAAAGTAAAGTCTTTCCAAGGTTATCTTCAGCTTAATGTGAACAGATCTCAATTATCTTTTCAAACATAAAAACCAGTCTCTCCCTTTCAGGCCCAATGACAAAGTAACTCCACCAACAATTAGATAAAAAATTCATACATGAAGGTTCATAATATTCTCAAGATTCACAAAATAGAATTATCTAGGGTAGGATAGAATGCTAGAAATTTTTTCTAATTTTTGAAAATGAATATAAAATGTATAAATAATATGGCATAAGGAATAGGGGCAAGTTCTTTCTGAGCATTATTATTTGCTGAGGAAAGGAAGCATGATTTCTTTGCATAATATTTGCAAACACATGTACCACTGAGTGTCACTTTGTCAGTCTGAGACAATAGTGAAAGGCCATGGCTGGGATGACAGGAGGGTGGCAACTCCCTTCCTCGAAGGCAGCTCCCTGGAAAATGCCTTAGGCTAAGGTTTCTCCAGAGGCTACCCTTGGGCATGTAAGAGCTTCTTACCTATTCTCTATCAGGAAGGACATGCATTTTCTACTTCTCCCAAAAATTCTTATTAACAAGCAGGACAGACCCTAGTCAGAATTATACAAAAGAGAAAGAATCCATCACTATCCAGCTATTTTCCTCATCTACTGAGTCCCTCCTACCTCAGGAACTCAGCCTCATAAGCTTTTTTCTTTCTTTTTTATTTTTGAGGAAGACCAGCCCTGAGCTAACATCTATTGCCAATCCTCCTCCTTTTTTCCCCCAAAGCCCCAGTAGATAGTTGTATGTCATAGTTGTACATCCTTCTAGTTGCTGTATGTGGGACGTGGCCTCAGCATGGCCGGAGAAGTGGTGCGTCGGTGCGCGCCTGGGATCCGAACCCCGGCCGCCAGTAGCAGAGCGCGAGCAGTTAACCGCTAAGCCACTGGGCCGGCCCCATAAGCTTTTTTCTTTCTCTCTTCCTCCTCTTTAGTCAAAACATGTCCAAGGCCACCTGTCTCTTTGTAGAGCATATGATATACTAATTTATCGTCAGAATCGTTTGAATAAAATGCATCTCTGAGTTCAATGCCAGAACAACCTTGTGAGAGGAGATTTCTTTGAATGGGGCTTTCCGCTGGGCTGCTCAACACACACTTGTCACTCAGACTGAGTGGGTATCAACTGCTTGGACGTTTTTGAACACCTTTTAATTATAGCCCTCCTACCTACCTCAGTTCTTCTTAGTTCTCTAGATCTGGAAAACCCCTGCTACAGCCTTCCCTGTAGGAAAGGCTACAAAAGACTAGAGCTCAGGAGGAAAAATGTTTCTAAGAAGAGTTGGCCAGACCTTGTGGAATACAAGGCTAGCAGAGAGGAGAGAACTCTTTAGCAACCCACTGAAGGAGAATTTGGCTATCAGAGTTAGGGAAATAAAAAATCTGTAAAATATTAACATTTTCAAGGTAAGAGAGAGCTTAGAGAGAGCCCCCAGTCCAATATCTTCACTTTGTAGAGTAGCAAACAGGGATCCTATGAAGGTAAGAACACTGCCCTTGGTTTCTCAGAAGCAGTTGCCAGCACCCAGGTCTCCACCCTAGCTGCCCAAAGCCTGTAATTGTATGCAGGAATTTGGCACATTATTTTCCAAAGGAATTTACTTTCCTATTTCAAAAAGGAAAATCAGGCTTATAAATGCTTTCCATATCGACATCTTTTAATTTCTACAATTATGGCC